TTTTTTTTTTAAATTCCAATTTACAACAAGCTTTAACAAGCTTTAACGTCAACTTCCTATACCTCTTGTAAGTTTCCACCGGTGCCGCCATTACAACAATATCAAAAGCGCTCAGCAACTAAATAAAGATAAACAAAACACCTTTTTTGCCGAGAAATATAATTTTTAAACAACAAACGTTTTCAGCCTAATTAATAGGCCATCTTCAGGTTGAAAAATACACGTTAACCAGACGTTCCGTTGTATTTTTCAACCTGAAGATGGCCTATTAATTAGGCTGAAAACGTTTGTTGTTTAAAAATTATATTTCTCGGCAAAAAAGGTGTTTTGTTTATCTTTATTTAGTTGCTGAGCGCTTTTGATATTACCCCATGTTTATTCAAAACCATCCATAATTGTTGAAGATAGTGATACTCATAGTTGAAGCTGATGTCTCAACCTCTCTCCAAACAGATATTTTTGATATAGTCTTTCACAACATGAATAGCAAGAGTTCAAAATTAAGGGAATTTTACCAGAATATTTTGAAAATTGTTTATTATATTGTATTATAAACTTTGTAAGTTTGTGTAATGTATTTGCCAGAGATTGTCAGTTGTTCAATATAGAGATAAGATTACTATAGGAAGAATTCACAATTAGGAAATTTCCTATAGTTTTATTCAAATAAGTTTTTAATTTGATTATACAAATAATTTTAATGCCCATTTAAAAAATTTAATAACTGATTATTTTAATTTATTTGTTGCTGGATATTAAGCTAAAATTTGCTAAGGTGAAAAAGTTGTTTGATAAAGATTATAGTAAATACTATCTGAAATATATAATTTGATATCATATGATCTTTGAGAGGAAGTAAATTAAAAATCTATAATTATTATTTTATGAATTCTTATTGATGAGAAAAGATGCCAAAAAATATTTCTAGTAGTGTGTCTGAGTTAAATCAAAGATAAGAAAATATATCATGCCATAAGTGGGGAAAAAATAGATATAATTGCAAGAATCCTCAAGTATTAGATCAGACTATTTACACTGTACTGTACATGTAAATGAGAATATAAAGTATCTACCAAATTTTGATTTGTACTTCAACATATATGGACACTTTAATATATTTTTGTTACAATTAACGTTGTCTTTTTTAATATAACCATTCATCTTTTATTGCAATGAAAATAGTATTATATATTTTTAAGGTTAAATATTCAGTTTATAAAAAAGATTTTCTCTGTTTTAAATTTGTTTTGTCTTATAATCAATAGTGTAACCAGAACAAATATTTTAGGGGTTCAAATTATAACATGATAAAAATCACAAAAGTTTATTTAACAAAAGATAAATATTTAAAAAATTAATATCTCCATTTAGTTTTATACATCAAATTCAAAAAGTTATAGATTTAAGTACAATTTTATCCACACATTTTTAAGATCTTCACACTTATAAGTTTTATGCATTCATAAGATTCATCTTTAAAAGAAAATGGTAAACCCATAGGAAAAAGCCATCATCCATTAAAAGATTTATTTAGTCTAACAAGTCAAAAAATGTAGTGAAAAATTCAGTATCCATTGACCAAGCTATATTACTACTGACAAATAAGTTAGTTTTTTTTTTCTTATTATTATTCAAACCTTCAATCACTTCTGTACTTTTAGATGTGTCACTAGGCTATGGTATGAAGAATACACTCCTACAAATTGTACATGTATATATATGTATGTAAGACCAAAGGGCGAGAAATAGACAAACAAAACGAAATTAATTAAACTAAAAATACAAAAAATTTTATATACTCTCCCGGTTGACGCAGGTTATAAGGATACCAACTTCACTCTAGATCCACCAAACGAGACGCACATTTAATGAACCACTGAGTAATATAATACGCGACAGGAAAGTGCGCGTGTAGTTTCAGTCCGGCCAATTCCTTAAACTAAGTAATTTATGCTAGTTTCTTATTATTAACACTTAGTTTCTAAGTGTTAGTATTGAATAGAATAGGTTTGGAAGAAGACGAGAGATAGGACAGAGGGTACCCAAACTTGGTAATTGGTGCTCCTTGCAATGGTCGATGCCACTCGTTCTCGCAAAGTTCATCCCTTTTTCTCTTCCAGTTCCCGGGTCGTCGCCTATCCGATACAATACTGGACCTCCTCTCAATTAAGTTCCTTTTTCTTTTCTCGTTCCAAAGTTCTCTTTTTCTTTTCTCACTATACGATGCTGAACTTACAGGGAAGACTTTCCTTTTGGTCCCCTCCTTCCCCTTCCTTCCTCAGTCTCACGTCCTTTCTCTTCTGCTATCACTCCCCGTCTCCTCTTCCTTTCTCTTCTCCACTCACTCCCTTTCATTCTCCTCCTCCTTAACTCCCCCTCGTTCCTCCTCTCACCTTAGTCCACTCATATCCTCTCACAAAAGCCCTCCATTCATTTCTTTCCTCTCAGTCCACCCACACACTAAAGTCAGTGGGAAAAAGATAACATTATAGAAGAGTAAACAAATAGGACAGACGAAGGTGAAGTGAAGATAAATATACAAATCATACGGTTTAAAATATGGCGTGTAGCCACATGTATGTATTTTGCCATATTAAAAATTTTATCCTTTACTTATTTGACTATTTACGATATTTATGCAGGATAAGGAGGGAAGACCTAGGCCCCTAACTTTTCCCTAGTTACACTACTGCTTATGATCACTTGTTTTTATACACTTTTGACTGAACTTATTGTAATTGATATTTAAGATGGTGGAAAAACATTTTAAGATGAAAGTTGGGCATGTTCCTTTTGAAATTATAACTTACAAATATTTATATTATTTTTTCTTGATAAAACTTACTTTTTTGTTTAATATTGGTTTCTATTACATTTTTTATATTTTATACAAGTTTTATTTTTTCTATATTGAAATGCAATCTTAATAACCACCTACTTCTTTCATATCAATAATAATGATATTTATTTATTTAGAAAATTGTATTTAAGAAAAAATTTTAGTAAAAAAAATAGTAATCAAGAAAAAAATTGAAAAAATTTTTCAACTACTATTTTTCTCAAATACTGCATATTAAATGTCATTGTTGTTGAAATCAAAAGAATATATGGTTATTCAGATTAAACTTATTTTATGTTTGTTTAATGTAAATTTTATTTTTTCTATACTAAAATTTAATGAAAAAATTATGCAAATATTTTTAAGTTTATAATTTCTTTAAATATCAGAAGAACATGCTTCTCTTTCAGAAGAATATCAGAAGAACATGCTTCTCTTTATCTTAAAATGCTGAAGCTTTGTCTTAAATATCAGTTACAATAAACAAATAATTGTTATGCTGTTTGAAGTTAATATTTAATATCTCTACTAAAAAATAATGTGCATTTATTAATGTAAAGTACTTTATTAAATTAAATATTACAATGTTAAATTAATATACAAATTGATGCTATTTATTAATAATTATCTAATGCAATATGCAATTAACATTAATAATGAATTTGCATGTGTGTATGTATATATGTGTGTGTAATATATATATATTTTGCATAACAATTTTTCTGTTTTTAAATTTCATGGATATATAGTCTAAGTTAAAAGAAATCAAGAAGCATTTATTTTGACAAAAAAAAATTTCAGATATTCCAAAACTATATTATTAAAAAAAAGTAATACATATTCTGATTACATATTATTTTCATTTTTTATATTTACTCTATATTTATTACTTTATAGGACCTGTTTGCCATTACCAGCATTCAAATTATCCACAAATTGATCACTTTATTAAAGATTTAATTTCTAATAATGGTAAAGGATATATATATAAAATTGATTTCTACCAAAATTCCATTCTTGAATATTCTACATGCAATTATAGATACTGCAAAAATATTGGTAGGGAACATAAAAGTAATAATGTCATGTAAATATTCATCCTTAAATTATATTTTATTATTAGTTTATATTCAATACATAATTTTTTATTTCCATAATGTTTATAGAATAGTTGTATCTCTAAAGAAGAGAGTGTATTTTCAAAAATGTTATGATCCAGAATGCAGACAGAGTAATTACAAGTCTAAAGGTAATTGATAATTTAATGCTATATATTATCTGAAAGTATTTTGTACTTATATGTTGTTTAAAATAATTAAATATTACATGAAAAGTATTAATTTAAATATTTGTTAAATAATTGAGTTGTTCCCAATCAGTGGCATGAGTAACTAGTATGGTTATATATACGTTTTTTTTTTTTTTTTTTTCAACCTCCGATGGTCTATAAAACAAAGTGTAAATAACAAAATGAATTTATTACCAAAAGTTAGGTACAAACATGGTTACTTTTTGACATAATCGCCGTGAAGATTGAGGCATTTGTCATATCTGTGGATGAGCTTTGAAATCCCCTCTTCATAGAATGTTGCCATCAGTGACTTGAGATGGGCCTTAACATTGTTTTGAAGATCGTCATTAGTCTCAAACTTCTGCCCTCCTAGCCATATTTTCAGTTCAGGAAAGAGAATTGCAGTCTTCATACATTAAAAGTGTGAAGATTCACCTTTCAGACTTCCACCAAGCTTGGAACTTTTTAAACACCCAGTGTACAGCCCAAATTTAGTGCTGAGCAACTTCCACCTCTTTCCTGAACTAAAAGCACAGCTGGGAGGGCAGAGGTTCGAGACTAATGACAATTTTCAAAACAATGTGAAGGCCCATCTCAAGTCACTGATTGCAACATTCTATGAAGGGGGGATTGCAAAGCTCGTCCACAGATATGACAAATGGCTCAATCTTCACGGTGATTATGCCAAAAAGTAACCATGTTTGTACCTAACTTTTGGTAATAAATTCATTTTGTTATTTACACTTGTTTTTATTTTATGGACCATTGGAGGTTGAAAAAAAACTGCCCTCATAATTATTTCCCAGAATTTTTCTAAATTATTTAGTAAATATTAATCTTATCATAATTATTAAATTTAATAATTATTGGTGTTAATAAGAAATGATGCCTAACACCTATTTTTAGTCAAATTATTCAGTATTTAATTATTAATATTGGCATTAGTATAGTCTGATTTAATCAGGTAATCATTTGGCTTTAATATAACTATTGAGTTTAGAGATGTTCAAAAAGAAAAATTAATTTCTCTTTTNATTTGATTGCTAATAACTCTGATCAACACTTTTAGTGAATGCTACAAATTTAAAATAGAGTTTGTACACATTTAACGTAGTTATTAACTAAATTTTATTAAAATTTATTAGAAGACACTCCGACAGTTCCCTTGTGAGTGTAGCCATTCAATGTGACATTCAGACTTTTACTGGACTCTCTTCTTAAAAAGAAATATCAAAGGAGAATTGTAATGACAAGAATATAAAAAATTTAGTAAGAATATTTTTATATTTTATTAAGTGGGAAAAAATGAATAGTAAGCCTGTCTCAGTGTGTATTTCGCACCCATGTAAGATTGCCTTGACTCCTCAACAGTCTCAACATCTTACACAGTTGGCAAACTTCACACTGATTAAAGAGCAGAAATTGGAAACATATGGCAGCATGCCCTGGAACAAAATATACAGCAATGTCTGCAATATTTGAATCACATATAAGTTATTGAATTTTGAAAAATACAAAAATGTCTGGTAATCTGATATGATTCTGGTTCCATAGATACCAGATTACTGAATTTCCACTTCAATGTTTTTCATATATCTTTTTAATTATTATTAATTAAAAAATTGGAACTAGCATTCAGATTTTTGTATGAGAGTTTATTATAAATGTTATATAATGATTAAATTTGCAATTGCTTTTATTCCAAAATCATTAATGAATTATCAACAGACTGAAATGAAATATTCAGTTTTATATCAAAAATGAATTAATAAATCAAATGAAACAGGAGGATTTATATATATTAGTTTTAAAAAATTTTTAGTTGAGAAGTGTTAATTGCACAGTAGATTTTATATGATACATATATTTTACCATTCTTTTAATATTAAAAATTTGCCTATATCCATTGTATAACTCCAAAATAATAAGTTAAAATAAGTTATTAATTAGCAATGTACAGTAAGACCCTGCTTAACACTGATTCAATATAATGCAGTCTGCTCGAAGCCTAAAAAAAAAAGCTCAAGATTTACACTGATTCAAATTATTGAGTCATTTCATTGATTTGTATATACAGTAGAGCATCGATTATCTGACTCAAATGGGGACTCAGGTTGGTCAGATAACTGAAAAAATCGGATAACCGAAAACAATGAAAAAAATACATTATTATTATAGTATATTAGTATATCGCTATTAACCAACTTTGCGTTGAATTTTCATCAATGTTAAGCCTAACAAATTTTTTAAAAAATAATAATCGTCGCTATTGTATCGTTAAAAATTATTTTTANATATTTATTACTTTATAGGACCTGTTTGCCATTACCAGCATTCAAATTATCCACAAATTGATCACTTTATTAAAGATTTAATTTCTAATAATGGTAAAGGATATATATATAAAATTGATTTCTACCAAAATTCCATTCTTGAATATTCTACATGCAATTATAGATACTGCAAAAATATTGGTAGGGAACATAAAAGTAATAATGTCATGTAAATATTCATCCTTAAATTATATTTTATTATTAGTTCCATCTTGATCAGTGACAAAATCGACATGAAAGATATCAATAGGATCTTTAGGATTAATGTTGTCGATCCATTCGAAATCTGCAGAATCTTTGATCTTTAAATTTGGAGTAGACAATAGTTTTTTCATTCTAATTTGAGTAGATACGGCCGCTGCTACATTAAAAGTCTTCTTAACAATGGTATGATCATAAAAGGTACTCAACTATAAAAATTAAAAAAAAATATTCTGAAATATCGAGTAATCATATTAAAGTATCCCTTTTTTTAACGCTGTCTAGAGAGATACTGTATTTAGCAGTTCAATGAAATCTGGTATGGTGACATCTCGAGACATTTGGAAGACATTTGTATCGTAATCCGTATGATGTTTCGTTGTGGAGACACTTAAAAACTATGGTTTATCGAGGATATGTTACAAATTAGGCAGCCTCCTCGAAAGCAGGCCCTACGAGAGGGGATTGCAGCCGAGACCACATTGAGCAGTATTCTACATCGCTAAGGCCAATGTCGATCGGTTTACATGAGTGTCTTGAGCTTTCAGCGCTAAAAGTGCCGTAGTAGTGAGTTTTGGTACTAATATTTTTTACGGAAATTTCTTCTACATGTTCTGAGTTTGCCACCATACTAAATTTCGTTGCATTTGGACTGCTTTAGAGTCTAGACAGCATTGAATATGAATAATTACGATTATGAAGTAACGAATTAGTATCAGCAAGGTGACATTGAAAATTATTTGACGTCGAGAATTTCATGACATTTTCTTGTAAATATTGATAATTGAATGCAATATTTGAGTCTCGCGTGGCTTTAACAACTTAAATTCAACTCCTCTTTTATAATTCAAGTACAGAATAAACTTTTAAAATCCAATTTTTAGTGATTTTTGGGGCAATTTTTGAGAATGTAAATCTTAAGAATTTTAGATAAATTTTACAATTACAGTATAATTCAATTTAAACAATTTTAAGTAATACAAAAATTTGATGTTTCAAGACTGAAATTGCTCTGTGCCGTTGTTAAATAAATACGAATTTCATATTCTCAACATTAAATCACTAATTACAAGACTTTTAGTCTCATGTCTTAGAATCCTCGTCTGATCCTCGATCTTGAGTGGAAAATCAATAATAGATTTTTAAGTTTGTGAATTTACTTATTTACTGTACTGAGATTATATGTTACTAATTATTAATGTTACTAATTATTAATGTTACTAATTATTAATATAATTATATACATTATATACAAGGTGATTCAAAACTCACAGAAATTTTAAAAAATTAATAACTCACAAACTATTTAAAGATGATGCGGTTTTCACAGAAATGCTTAGAAGTGGGATTATTTTATGTGTAATAAAAATTTTAGTACCAAAATAGTTACATTTCTTGCCATTTTCTTGTCACTTTGTTTCATTTGTGGGACCAAAATTTTGCAATTTGTAGAAATCTTTAATTTTAATTACACGCCCAAATTATGTTTATGAACATAAATTTTTTCAGTTTTACAATATCACCTTTGATACAATGCAAATTAAGAAAAAAAGCACAATCATACTTTATAAGAACCAGGTCCTGGAGTTTTGTTCTTCTGCTTTCGAAATCTGATATCATTTCCAAACAGTACACCACGTATCTTATCTTCATTTTTGATATTATATCTACCTGGTCCTACAGAAATAGTAAATTTTTACTTATTAGTCGTTGAATATCTTTATTTTGAAGGAACTCGAAAATGGATAAGACAAATAAATTTGCAGAATTTACCTCTATACGTGCATATAGTTCTGTCGATTATTGGTGGTGCTTTGTGGAGTTCTCGACAGGAAGTAGAGTTAAAAGGAATTCCATCACACAAAGGGTTGTGAAAGTCTTTCCTTTTTGTAATGTGATCTAAAGCATGACCAACGTTATAACGTCCTACACCCGGATTTCTCTAAAAATAAATCTTGTTAGGAGTTAAGAATTTGGATCTTGGTAAAGCTACATCACCTACAGATACTGTAAAGAGCGATCTGGGCTGTCGATTCGCAAAAGGAGCTGTGGCAACATTACCCCATTTTTTATCTTCTTTTTTCCATATGGGCTGAAAAGTATAAGAAAAACCAGAAAATAGATTATTAAGTTACTTTATTTTTATCAAACGTACTTCATAATTTCAGAAATTTAAAAGATTAATACTACAGAAAACTTAATAATCCTTAAGTAATTTGAGTACAAGCGTATGGTTTGCAGACTATTATATGAATTTTGAGATGTCCCATAATTAAGTATACAGTTTAAGAGGGAGGGGTCGTAAAAAGTACATCATTGTATACGAAGGGGAGGAAGGGAGTCGAACGTTGCCTACGTGAATTTTTTTAGTACAGTAAAACCTGTCTATGGCGACCACCCACGGTTCCTTCAAAAAGTGGTCTTTTAGACAGGTGGTCGTTTAATACAGGTAACTTATGTAAATTGAAAATTCCGTGCCAGAAATTTTTGCCCGTTTTGACAGGTGCCCGTCCAATGCAGGTGGTCGCCTAAGCAGTTTTCACTGTATATATATTTGGGGCTCTGACCTGCCCGCTACATTTGTGTGCCCTGACGTATCCACTACACCAGTGTTTCTCAACGGGGGCGATATCGCCCCCATGTGGGCGTTTTTCCATGTTGAGGGGCGATTAGTAATAATTTATANATTATGTAAATTGAAAATTCCGTGCCAGAAATTTTTGCCCGTTTTGACAGGTGCCCGTCCAATGCAGGTGGTCGCCTAAGCAGTTTTCACTGTATTTATTTTTTTATTTTTATTTTATTTATTTTACAATTTAATGTTAGTGGTGTACGAATTTGTTCTTGTAAGCATACTTACTAGTCATGTCAATAAGTTATCAGTTAGAAAATATTTGCAGAATCTTTTTAGGTCATTTCTTCAATATCAGGGGGATGCATGAACTATCGCATACGTAATTAAAGAGTTTGCCAAAAATATATTATTGTAGAGCTATATAACAAGGAGAAAGGGGATCAAAATGGCTAAAAAAAAACTATAAACATAGTAAATGAACGTTCCTTCTCTTTATAAATGATAGTTTATAATATATTTTTTTATTTACTTTATAACTCTCGAGTATAGATAGTCGAGGTTAAAATAACTAGGCATTGAAAAATTGCTGTAATTTTTGTAATAATAATGAAATCATAATAAAATTTATTTATCCGTGTACATAAATCAATGGTATTTTATAATTCCTATATCGTTAGTGTGGATACTGAGCGAGAGAGGTCGCAAGCGCAGTGGCAAAAAAGACGGCCGATCGTTTCTGTTCAGATGCGAGCAAAGATTGCTGCACACTATGAGATATTTAATCAATGGCTGCTGTGAAGAGATGGTAGCGTACGGTGAAGGGACGTTATGCCGCAATCCGTCCGGAAATAATCAAGACTTGTCATTTGAAGCTAATGACCAAAGGTTCGGTTGTGGATACACAGAGATATGACCGTCTATTCACATCACGATCTGAGGAAAACGTGTCGTTGGTGTCACCCGCAACCCGCATAAATCAACACATGCACTCAACAAAACCTCGAACACTGGAAGAATTAGACGCACAGATTCGGGACGTTATCACCAACGTTCCACATGACTTCCTATAGAAGGCTGTGAATTCCATGCCCGATCGTTTGAGGAAATTGGTGGATGGCGTCGGTTCCTACATTACATTTTAAGAATAGCATCCGTATTTCCATTTAATAACGTACAGTACATGTCAAATAATTTTTACAATATTTATATTAGAAGTATACAAAGTATAGCGATTCCACAATACCTAGTTATTTTCTACCACCCTGTAGAACTATATCTATATCCGAATTTCCACAAAGAAACTTCTAGGTAGAATGTAGAAGATGAAAAGTTTATGGAACCTTTTTATCGTAAGAAGTCGGCCCTGGATACGTAAAAGTTGGAGGACATCGATTTGGAGATTTTGGATATGTGGTAAAGAAAGCAATTTGCTTAAATTTTTCGACGCGATCCTTCAAATCTTTTCTAAAGCTTAAATGCTGTCTATTTGGAAATTCAGAGAATTCTCTTTTTAAATTGTAGCTTCCAACTCCTAAAAGAATAAAATTTTAGCTAATTTTACGCAAATTAATTTATTGAGCTGCTTTATTGATATTTACCAGGTATAATTTTATCCGGAGATTGCTCACGAGGGAATCTCTCACTAGTATTATTGAAAGGAATAAGTCTCTTAGGAGGTGTTTTTATGAAATAATTTATTCTTTTAACAGTTTTTGCTTCTTTATATTCCGGATCAAACTGAAAGTTTAAAATTTAATTCTTTTTTATTAAAACATTACGCTATAAAAGACTTACTTCGTGCAAAAGATCGATGAGGCTGATGTCCTTTTCTACAGTTTTATATTTTTCTGCAAAAATAAGGAAGTCATAATTATGAAAACCAAGCATTAGATCATCTTTTCGTACCTGGCATTCCTAAATAACGCAAAATATTATATCTTCCTGGTCCAACTAAAGGTCCAGTTGACCTTTCTTGAAATTGCAATATGGCTCTCTTTTCTTCATTAAACAGCATCTTTATGCTATTGATTTATAATATTTTAATATTAAAAAAGGTAAACTGTTAACGTTACAAAACAATAATCTTTTGCACTCAATATTAATTTTAAATAACATATATTTGATTTTATAACGTTTATCTTCAAATTGACGTAATAGAATGCTTCAAATTAAACCGTTATAAAAGAATACCGGAAACTTGTGTGTTTCAATCTCGTGCAGGCGTTTAAAAGATAAGCGCTATATTTTTGTAGAGAAATATAGTTTTTCAATACAGTAATATCTAATGACAATATTACAAGCACTGTACGTTTTTATGCAGAACTTATCGAATGGATAAAACCACAAATCACTGAACAGCAGTATGAACACTGGTCGTGGATACTCCATAATTGGACTAGCTTTGTGAGGTTTCCGAATTTTCTTCGCGTGTCTAACATACTATAGAAAGTCCTCCCGGGAGAAACCCCTTGGTTGTCTTATTCTATTGTCCAGTCTGATTCAATCTTTACTTGGACAAGTAATCGTAAATTTCAAAGATTTCACCATGATTTCGAAATTTAATATGGATTCTATCATGAAAGTTTTGATGTTTGCTCATATATTAATAAATGCCATTAAATCACAACGTAGTTTTTCATTTTTTATCAAAATTTATTAAGAGTTTGGATTAATTAACAGCATTTTGTGACTTTGGCACAGCTATATAACTGTCTGCTGTTTCTTCTAAATTGTAGTCATCCAGATTAATACCATCTATCCACTTGGTATCTATGTGATAAGCGGCGCCGAAAGTTGGAGCAGCCATCGATTGATTGATTCGACGGTTTGTAGAAAGAGCAGCTTTCAGATTGAAGGATCTCTTCAAAATGGTATGAGCGTAGAATGGACTTATCTGCGAATATCTCTTTTTAACATTTATTTACAAACATATTTAAAATATATATAAATGCAAGATGTTTACATCATAAGCTCCCGGTCCAGGTACATCACTTGATTTTGTCACGAATCTTCTCTCTTTGCTAAAAGTTACGGATGGATTCTTTTCTTCAATTATTTGTTTGGGTTTATCAGGAACTGCAAAGTCTCATAATTGTATTTTTGTGAGGCTGTTTTTTACAATTAAATGATACTTTCTTACCCTGAATAATGCACTTTGCCATTGGTATTTCGCATTTTCGTGAAGCCGACGTATTGAAAGCCACTCCACGTTTACCATCGTATAATGTACTATGGAAATCTTTCCTTCTTGTTATCAATTCTAATCCTGAAATTATGTTATATTGTCCGACACTAGGATGGCTCTAAATCAAAAATTGGTATATTTTCTGTATAAATATTAATTTAAAATATTTTAAAAGTTTACTCACCAAGGGAGCAAATAAATTTTTAGATTTGTCACTAGTGAAGTAAGATGCTCTTTTGCTTTTCCATTTGTCATCTTTCGTCCATGTATGCTGCAAATAAATGAATCATAATCAGCGAGTTTCAAAATAAACTTCATTTGACTATTTCTACGCTTGCCTTCACATTATAATGATTAGGTCCAGGATAACTATGAGGCGGAAGCGTGAGAGTTTGGGATTTTGGAAATGTTGTATCGAAGGCAACTTGCTGGAGATTATGCCAATTTTGTTTTTTAGATAATTCTGTCTCCATGTTATATTCTCCTACTCCTATGACAAATCAATCATTAAATAAATGCATATACTGTTTATGTAACAAAATGGGCGATGATCATTAAATTTAAACCTGGTGAAGTCAATTTAGTTTCTTGGAGAAATCTTCGGCTACTTTTACCGAATGAAATGCTCTTTTTCGGATATTTTTTCACAAAAATCATTTGGACAGGTCTTTCGCTTTTCTCACAGTAATTGGGATCAAGCTATAAAATAACCAATCATAAATAATAATTTATTGAATATATTCCGTTAAAACTGACTCTAAACATACTTCTCTTAATAGATTTGTAATGCTTTTCACAGGTTTTACTGGTTTAGATTTCTTAACTAGAATAAAAATTCAACTTTAAAAATGAAGTATTGAATCATATGAAAGTACAATAAGTTAATCTTTACCTGGAACACCAAATTCTCGAGGAATGTTATATGTTCCTGGTCCCACATGAGAATTGGTATAATTTTTGAATACTTCTTGTCTTTTAGAGCGAGTGAATAACATATTTTATCTTTTTAAACAAAAAATAATCACTGTCTTTTTTAGTCTTTTTGAAATATTTACTAAATCAAATCACTGTTTCAAAATGTCGGTCTCTTGCGTTGACGAATCAATTAAGCAAGTTGCTTTTCATCTTCGAATCTAAAATTGTGATTGTTATAAATTTTGAAACAGTGATTTGCTTAAATAAAGTTACGTGGCTGTCCCATTACTAACCATTTCATTAATTAATTAACAATCAAGACACAATCATAGTTGTCTCATTACGGGAATCCCTAGCCCTCAAAGAAGTTGAGCGGTATGGATGAGGGATAAAACGATTCCCTGATCCATAGTATTCATAATAAACATGGGTATGAATCAGTTTTCCTGATAGTAGGATATGGCACAACTATGTAATTTTCAAAACATTGGTATTTAGAAAGATTGTACAGTAGCCATAAAAATTGCATCTTGTGTCTCCCAGTTAGAGAATATCACGACCACAGTTGGTAGACTATGGTAAGATCACACGGAACTTACGTTCACTAGATCCTATCTGAGGTGTAGACTCCTCAGATGAGTCATAACTCATCAGAAGTCTCCTACACTTAAAGGGCCGTCCATAAATTACGTAAAGGCGATTTCGGCCATTCTAGACCACCACCCACCTCTATGTAAGAAACCGTAACATTTTCTTTGATCCCCATCCCCTTCCTTACGTAATATTTAGGCATGATTTTATAGAAAGATTTTAACAAAAATAAATTTTTTATGAAACCCTAAAAACTTTAGGTCAAAATATATAATTATTAATTAGTTAATTAATATGTACTATTATTTATAAAAGACTTTATGTGAACAAATTTAAAAATATAAAAATTTAATGAATTCGAATGAACAATTTATTTTAAGAACTTTATTTTTTAATTACTGTATTAACAATCATTTAATTATTATTATCATTAATCAACGTCATAATATTCATTTTTATATTAATTTTAATTTCCACAAAAGGACACAAAAAACTTTGACAGATCGACTAGCTAGTGCACGTGTAACGTCATATAAAATGACGTTACGTGTATGACGTTCAAAAATGACGTACACAGCATTGGAAACGTATTTGTATTAACAAAAAGCGGGTTCCCGAATATCAACGTAACCAGAATCGAGTTACACATGTGTGTGTGTCTCAACTGTACCCATTAAATCCACTGCGCTTTTGTAAATAAACATCGCCGTTTTTCGACTCAAAAAGACATTCGGAACTAATTTCTACGAGTCTAACAGCTGGGACAGATCTTCAATAAATGAAAAAATAAATAAATAAAAATAGGAATATATAATTTCGTGTTTGTCTGCACTGCCGGGGAGAAAGGCGATTTGTAGGAAATTTTGTTAGAGTTATTAGGTTAAACGGGATTTAATAGGACCACTTCGACACGATAATGCATTACTTGTATACGAAGGGTGTAAATTTAATAAGTACAACATCTAAATTAAATTATAAAATGATTAGGATACGAAATAATTGAACGAATAAACAATCCAAACAATTTATATTGTAGAATAATAATAATTTGGCCAATTGTTTGGCCAATTTCACTTCAAATGTCCTATTTGTTTGGATGTTTACGTCGACCCGGGGTTACCCTGCCTTGCGGTCATCTCTACTGCAAGACGTGTATCGAGAGTGTCAGAAAAATTTGGAAACTCTGTCCGATGTGTCAAACTTCGATGGGCAAAATTAAAAAGAGAGACGATCGAGTCAAGGAAGTGAAGCAAATCATGGCCACACATTACGCCATCTGCCATTCGTGTGGAGAAACAACTCTCTTATCCGGACTACGTGAGCACAGGATAGCGTGTGAAGAGACTGCCAAAAATTCCAACAAGAAAACACCTGCTGATGCGAAAATCATTCGATGTGAATTGTACCAAAAGAAGATCGCACCGAACGGACTGTTAAAGCGCCTGAAAAACAAGAAGATGCGTGGACATTCGTTGATCTGTCCGAAGTGTGCTATGAAAAAATGCGATTAAATCGAGATCGTCGCATCATCTAAAATAGACGTGAACAAAATTTTCAATGAATAGTTTTGAATAGAATTAACGCTTCGTTCTGACGAATCAAAATGAAAAATTCCTGAATTTTGAATCATTAAAATTTGATTTTATTATTTACGAATAATTTCTTTATTTACAGCGAAAAAAATACACATGCTACTCATATTTAGATCTTTTGTATGTCTGTTCGTAATAACAACTTTTTATATTTTAACGGGCAATTATTTATTGTGACGGGGTCACAATGTCGGGCTGCAATTTTTTAATCGTATTTTTACTTTATTTAATTTAAAATACAGTATATTCTCTCCACCTCGAATTAGTTGTGGCTTGCCTCGTACATCATACTTTTCCTATTAGCAATGCTGGTTCCTTTCGGGGAGGGGAATTTTTGAAATGAAATAACATGATTTCCGATTTGTACCAGAAACCGGGGTCTCCTGCCCCTATGGTTTCAATATCTAGTCTTGGGTTTCGTTTATTTAACTCCGTTCTCGAGATTAAGGAAGTCAGAAACGTCATATAAAATAAAACAAGAGAGAATAGAGAGAAACCACATTCCGTTGCCATATTGATTACATCTTGGCTAAGGCCAAGAAAATTAACTACATGCTGTTAAAATGTGCTAGGTGCACCTGGGAACTAAATCATACAGCTGTAAAACTCTATATAATGGGGCAATACAACCAATGCTACCTTACGCGGCCTCTAGCTGGGGTCATGTAACTAGTAAAAATTCAGTAGCAAGTAAATTATTCTCTCTTCAAAGACAGTTTGCCATCAGAATTTCGAAGTGCTGTAGAATTGTTTCTACTAATGCCTCTCTGATACCAGCAGAGCTCCTTCCTTTGCCATTATGTACTGTAGAAAAGGTTCTAAACTACCACATCAGAACTACAAACATCAGGGCTCAACAACAGTCTCTACTCCTATCTACGGCTATTCATATGCTACCACATTGCAATTACCCTACTATCTCTGTAAACAAGGTTATCTCCAGGGTACATTTGGCGTCATCTGCTTCCTCCGTGGATAACTATGCAGACATTAATATCTACACAGATGGGTCCAAAAGCCCTGTTCATGTTGGCTTAAATATCTCTATCTTCCTCCAAACTGACATATTTTGCCCAAAATATGTTAGAGGGCACAAATACTTCCCCACATACCGCCATCTATCAATCCGAAGATGCTGTCTACCAAGCTGTTCAGTGACCACTTCACTACCAAACAAAACTCTGTCTATCAACATTTACAGTGATTCTGTCTGTCCTGAAAGCTCTATTATATCCCAATTGCAATAGTAATAAAATCACATACATCCAGCACCATATTAAAAATCATGTAAATAAGATAACTTTTATATTTGTTCCCGGCCATACTGGCATACTAAAAAATGAAAAAGCCAACTTTGAGGCTAAGTCAGCTGCAAAGGACACTGACTTGGACTACACTCACATCGCTCACTCACGTAGCAGCCTTAAAAATTATATTCATGACAATGCTATAAAAAAGTGGAATCAGCAATGGTTGAGCAGTAAAACTGGTAGAATAACAAGACTTTATTTTTCTAGTGTTGAATGCAGGTTCTCATAACTACTTAGAGATTTAACGTTTGCTACTGCTCAACTACTTACTGAGCATGATAATTTTAGAAGCTAACTAGCGAGGTATAACCGGGCAAAAACTGCCTCTTGCTTTTGCTCTACAGAAAACCTAGACACCGTCGACCATATGATCATTGTCCAATTTACGACCAAGATAGACTTATAGACTTATTCTGAAATTAGAAAACTTTACGCTTGGTTTCAGGTGGCCACGTCCACTCAATAAGCTTGTTGAGAAGCCACTATTTGATGTTTTTTACAATTATGTTCAAAAAATATAAAAGAAAAGACTATTTATAATTTCTAGTTTTACATTTTAGTTTTCGCAAAAGCCGAATACTAATTTTATGTTTATTTTGTATCATGTATTTTGATTTATATATTCTTAGTATTATACACCCGTAGGAGTGGCGCACTTATTCTAATAAAAAAAAAAAAAAACAGAGAGAGAAACTACCACACTGCCTTTCTCCCATGATAAAAAATGTGTAGAGCGTGAGTCTGCTAGCGTTAATATTCAAATTTATACATCATATATTTACAAACCCTTAGACTAATCTATAAATTCTTGCCTTTTTAATCTTTCATTACGGTTACCACAAATTTGAATTAATTCGAATTTTGAAATCTTCCAAATTGGTTATGACGTTGAAATTTTTAAAATCAAATTATTATACCGTTCTTTCAGTGTGAACAGAATGAATTAATATCTGTTCAAATTAGAGTCTATTTTGAATCAGATATTTTTACGTCAATTTGACCTCACTTCTGCATTTTTGCAGCGAACAAGCCGAGGTCATGCACTTTGAAGTAGAGGTTTGTAGTTCCGAGGACCGTTCCAAATGAACTGTTCTGGACTCGGAACTACGAACGCGTTCTTCATTGTGTACTTTTACGAATATGGTTTTTCACGGAACGGCGAATTCTTTATCCGGATTTGAACTTGAATTAATGAAAATGTTCCACGGAGTTTTAGGAATAATCAAATTAGGTTAGTTGTATTTTAAATTTTCAAAGATATTTTAAAAATTTATATATTTATCAGAGTTCGTAATTATTTGTTTTATTAGTAACCAGCAGATATGTCCGGCATTGGCCATCCAAACAGGAAAATGGCTAAACGTTGAAATGAAAATCTTATTACAAATTTTGCTATTTTAACTTACAATTGTTATGTTTGTAGCAAAGTGTTGAAGAGAACAAATCAGGAATGTGTGGAATGTCCGGACTTCATGAAGGTCTATATTTTCTCCAGAGTACCAGAGAATAAGTATAAAAAGTTTTGTTCGGATCGGACAGTATATTTAGGAGTTAATTAATATAATTTTTAGATAAATCGGTGAAATAAAAATTTTGGTGACTTTTCGCAACTTTGGATATCAGAGCGCTTTTTGTATAAATACCTGCAATGAAGTTTCTAAGAAAAGCGATTACCAGTTGTTGCAGCAATTGTGTTTGTACAGTGGGTGATCGGTTAACGAACATAATCCGTTCCAAGACTTTGTTCGTTATCCGAATTGTTCGTTAACCGATTATTGATTTACCATAGGTTTCTATGGGAATTTAATCAATTTGTTCTGGAGACCCCCAAAAATAAAAAATATATACTTTCTTATTACGTTTATTTATATGTAATAATAAAAATACATACACACACAGTCTTTCATTTTTATTAGTCATGTTTTTTTCCCTTTGAAATGGTTAAAGAATCTGTCTAATGTCGATTGCTTTTCCCTCTTCTTCAGGATTTTTCGTAAGTAATTAATAGCGTTGCAATTGTAGAAATCCCCAAGCCTCAACCTGGTTTGGATGCCATTCTAAGACCATTGTTCTGACATCCTCCCACTTCTTCAAAGGATCTTTAATAACAGATATCAGCATTAATCCTCTTTTTCAAAAGAAAACATCCATCTTGCCGAGTTTCTTGGTGTTCTTCATTCAAGAGTTCTTGACGTTCTTCTGTCGTCAGATCCGTTTCAGGTTCCATTACGAACTCTTCGATGTTCTTTATTTCTCATATGTGATTTTTGTTACTCCTTTAGCTGCTTGAGTCTTCTTGATTATACAGTATTTTTCTTAAATAAGATTGAACTGCGGCCTACTGTAGACCTGTTCACGCCATACTGCCCAGCAACATTAGGCATCTTCTGCCCACTCTCCACCTTTGGTATTATACTCTCACCTTTCGAAAAGAAAAACAGATGCAAAACTTAACGAGTGCCTACCCGACAGTCTAGCGAATACATAAAAGAATTATTTTGTCAGAAAAATAAAAGGCTGGAATTACAAGGGAGAGTTTCAAAGTTCGGAGGAATACTATCCGATCGGTATATACCGGCTTGAGCGTTGATGTCGACGTTTCCCACACTCCGAAAAGTTTCGAATTGTTTCCCGAAGACATGGGAAGACCAATCGGTATTCATTATTTTACATCGCTTCTTCTTGTATTTGTTCTGTGAGGTGTTCGTTATCCGATCTGTTCGTTAACCGATCACCCACTGTATATTGGTAAATAAATATGTTGGTTGTCTTTACTTTTTTGTGTATTCAGTGTGCTGTATTGAACAAAATGGTTATCTGGCCCGCTGTGAAAAAAATTTGGCGACCCCTGGGGTCTAGTCCAACTGTTCCATTTCCGCTGCTGGAACTGGATCTTTCACCTCTACTTTGAACTAAATGAATAATTTTAAAATAAGAAAAAGAAAAGTGGCGCTGGTAAATTAAAAAAAAAAAAAAAAAAAGGAAATGCTTGTTAATCATAGATCTTTAAGTAATGCTTCACGGATAATTTCGGCAATTAAAATGGCTTTAATTTAAAACTAACATTAAAAAAGTAAGCAAATAATTAGCAACTAATATACAAAATTTATTTAAATTAATGATGATTTTAAAATTAAAATATGCTACTACAGTATCATCATTATATAAAAACGCAGTTTGAAAATTATTTTTAAACATATAAAGACGAAATCTTTATTCAAAACGTGAATTTACTCAATAACTTTCCAAACATTAAAAGAGAAAATAAAAACCATCAATCAGAATTAATTTTGTTAATGATTTGCCTCATATTCTCACTTATCTTTTTTAGTTCCCTTTCTACATCACAGGCAGAAAGATATTTTTCATGCCCATCATAAGCTCTTAAGGGGCGCGGTCCGACATATCGGGATCAACTATTTAAAAATTTATGATCCGCAATTTCATATCTGTAAATTATATAAAATTTAAAAGGAAATATTAAAATTGCTTTTAATTAATTAAAGACATTATACGAAAACATTTTCATTCAATTCATTTATTGATTTAAGTAATTGGAGCAGTAAATAAATATGACTGTGTGTGACCCTGGTAGTGATTTTAATAGTTTTCGAAACTACTACACACTCACATATTCTCAAATTATCCTTTATGAATTTAATAAAATAAAATAAAAATCTCTAAAGGAAATTTTACTTTATTAATCTAGGCATAATTTATATACAATTAATTCTACATTTTTTATGATACAAATAATTTATTTATACAAAATTTTGAAAGAAGAAATGTTTAAAAATTTTTCCATTATAAAATGAAAATATATTCTATAAAACTTTAAAAGTTTATTTAAATATATTTATTTTTCTATTTTGATAGAAATTGAATTTTATGTGGTGTGTGATGAGGCTTTTAAATTAATAATTTGTAAATAAATAATGTACTAATGTATGAATATTTCATTTTATCAAGTATGAAAATTTGTATTTAATTAAAATATTAACTCATTCGTCAACTTTGATAAGAACTCTGTGTTTAGAAAATATTTCGATGCCTTCATCCATTTTGGTCAGTTCTTTTTCGAGCAATTCCTTTTTTTTCTTTGCTCTTAAAGTATCACAGCACACGGGTAAATGTATATATTCACGCAACAATTCTTCTTTATCTAGAAAAATAAAATAATTTGATATCAAATTAATGTTTTTATTGCTTTGGCAATTTTTAAGTTAACAGTTTTAAACAGGATAATTGTATACATACTTTTCTTGAATTTTTCTAATGTACTTATTCTTTCCTCTTCACTTAAAACTATGTGACCAAGAGGAATGGAAGGATCCACTTCTTCCTTCTTTCGCTTCAATTCTTCTTCTTTCTGTTCATACTGTCTTTGTATCAAGCTATAAAATAATTATAAATTAATCAGCCTTGAGTTGTCTAGAATTAATTAATTCTAGACAACTCAATAAACAAATCCTGACAAGTTAAGAAATATTTTTCTAGTACATCATTGGTTTAATTAGTTAAAATAGAATGGCCAGGTAGTGAGAGCAGGGCCTAACATATTGACCAAATCATCCATGAAGTAATGAGGATATGAGCCAGATTTGAATGCAGATTTCTTGTGAAGACAAGCTGAAACCTTATAGTCTCAGCCTTATGGCCTACATAGTATAAAAATTATAAATTTGTAATTTTTAATTGTCATTACCAATGCATTTATTTTTCAGTATATTTATTCATTTTACATTGCTGTTTGTGTAAATTTAGCCAATGTTGGCTCAATGTGTTAAAGTATTATTTTTAGTTAGCCTGAATATTCAAATCTTTGACCTGGCAAAGTATTTGTGGTTATCAGAATTTAATGAGAATTGTTGATAGGGATGCTTTAAAGCTGCCAGGAAATAACTTTGCACATATGAATTAACAAAAAATTTAAAAGTAATTGAATGAAATTAAGATTATTCTATACATAAAAAAATCATTGCCTTGGGATAATAATGTGATATGGGTATATTTTCATTTATATCAAGAATAAATGCTACTGAGTAAAATTTTCATTACATCTGACTCTGAGATATTACAAATGACTACCTCACTATTGTTCTATCTTTGACATTTAACTACCAAAATTTAATTATCATCATCAATGCCCTATATATAGAAATAATCTTGCCAAATTTCAGAATTTTTGGTTCATGATGTCCTGATATATAATGCAAAATAAACACATGCACACATATACATGATGTGTTTATTTTATAAGGTTTTATATTTTTGGTTCCTGGAATGTCAAATTTTCAGAAAAAAAAAAAAACTGGGTAGGAGTCAAAATTTGATTGATCATCATACTTTTTCTATGTTATATTTTATAACAACCAGGTAAGTAAAAATGAAAAAAATTATTAGAATCAAGATTCATTTGGTAAAAAACTAATAATAAACCATACATTAACTTTCTACAAAAATTTTGTATAAAAAAACACGAGGAAAAATATAAAATTTTATGTACTGTAAATTAAATTAATCGCCAAATTTATAAAATATACAGTAATACCATGACTTATGTCGATTTCCAAGCAGTCAAAACAAATGAAAACTAACTTTATTAATATTTTGTAACAATGTTGTCAATTGAATTCAACATAAATAATAAATAAAAATATTTCTGTTCTTTTTTATTCTGTAATAAAATAATAAAGAATAAAATAAAATACAGTATAAACAATTACTTTGTTACATTTAATGTATTAGTAAATGGCAACTTATTTACTGTGCTTTAATAGTTGCTGTATGATAGATGCACACTGTGTCTGAATCAGTAAATATCTGTCCCATATATATACACCTGTTAAGTATATATTGACTTATAACTGAGCTATAAAACCAGATCATTACAGCAAAAAGCTGTATAATGAGAACTCAGTGTATTTTAATTATTTATTCTTTTATTTTTGTTGTTTCTTTAACTTAACATTAATTAATATGTATACATTTAAAAGGAATGTTTATTAGGGGTTTAGAGGATCTAAATAGCTTTAAGGAGGGACTTGATACCATGCTGATATATAAATACATAAGTGGATTGATGGGAGAAGGCAATACAACACTTGGAAGATCTGTCAAAGAAGAGTTTTTACCTGGGAGCATTTTCTGTGGAAAACTAGCCCCTATTTAGATTTCAGACATATGAAGAAAACTCAGAAAATTTCATCTGAAGGCAAAAATTGCAATCAACTAAAAGTGTTTAGTAGTTTTATTCATTTGTATAAGTCTAATTATTGATGGGAAATATATAAATGAGATAACTGTTTAGTTCGGGAAGCTCAAAAACTGATAAAATAATTTTGATCAATTACATAACAATCTTCTTCATTTATATACAGCATACAAATACATGTATTTGTAATACATGTTATGTATACAAATACATAACATGTATTTGTATATTAATCATATAACTGACTTAAAACATTTTATTACATGTTTAACTTCCCAAACTAAACAGTTACTTTATTTGTTAACTGAAAATGTTTGCATTATTTAAAAATAANTGTTTTGATATAAGGAACCTTTAGCCGGAATGTTTCTACAGCACTTTGCACATTCTATGCAGTCGGTATGCTAAATGAAGCAGCAGAATACAGTATTTATGACAAGTTTTATTGACAAAACAGTAGAGTACAATCAAACTGTACATCGAATCAGTGGCTACACTACTTTAGAGTAAATGTTCAATGTGACAACCACCAACATCGTTACATAATGTGCAACAACAAACCATGTTTTGTCCGTGCTATTATATACATATAAATATACTTATAACTTTATAAATTTTACAAATTGAATATCACTTTTTGCAATTATTTAAAATCTCTACTTCTATTAAGTTCTACATATGTAATTGTTAGAAGAATAACTTTTTAATACTTCAACAAATACACTTTAGTCTTCATAATTTTAATTCAGATTTTGTAGATATCATATGGATAAAATAGCTTTAGTTATACAAAATTAGACAGATTTCACTTTGTAAAATACTTTAAATTTAATTTCCAATTAGATTTAAAAAAGAATACAATTAGAAATGAATTGGTATCATTGTGCCTATATATATATACAGGGTGTTTATAAATGAATGGTGCTGTTTTAAAAATTAATAATAAATCTATTTATTACCTTATATGGGCAAACCTTACAGCATAAGCAGCAGCAACTGTCCAAGTTTTTTATGCGCTACCTGTTCTTTGTTTGTCATGCTTAATCATGTTCTTCACCAACACTGGATTGGACGTGGTGCAACAGTAGACAACAACCTGCTCTTCTGGCCACCCCATTCACCAGATTTAACACCCTGAAATTTCTTTTTGTGGGGGTTTGTTAAAGACTGATTTTATGTACCATCAATGCCTATGTCCCTTGAGGAATTGTGTGATTGGATAAAGCATGCACTGCAGACCATCATGAAGGACATGCTACAGCACATATGGGAAGAATTTGATTACTGTGTAGATATGTATCGTGTGACCATGGGTGCAATATTGAAGGATTGTGATCAATGCATAAAAAACTTGGACAGTTGATACTGCTTATGCTGTAAGGTTTGCCCATATAAGGTAACAAATAGATTTATTATAAATTTTTAAAACTGCACCATTTATTTATAAACATCCTGTATATATATTATATATATTACATCAAGTAAAAACTTGCATCAATTTAGATGACAGTCAAATGTTTTTCTTAGAGTAAAAATTTTCTTTGGTAAAAATAAGCTAGGCACTTCAAAGCAAAATGTAAAAACCATTAATACAGGTAAAAATCTTGTGGGTACTGTTGTTTTCAAACACAAAGCTTATTTTTACCAAACAAAAACTCTTAAGAAAAAAATTTTATTATTAACTAAATTGCTGTAATTTTTTATTTGCTGCAAATTTTTACATCTCAAATGGTTTTCTTTGGATATCAATTGTTTTTTGGTTAATGACTGTTATTAAATCAAGACTAAGACAATGATGTACTGTACTGTACTGTTCCTTCGATGCTTAGTGACACGATTGCCATCAGTTGAAAGGTTCAATATACAGTAAAATCATTATAAAATGTTTTAATTTGCATAATTTATGCTTTTGTTATTCTAACATTTTGAATGAAAATCATTTGTTTAAATACAATTTTATCCTTACAAGCATAAAATTAAGTGATGAAAGTAAAATAGTTCTACGGGGAACCCTGTGAACTTTGACCTATTGATCTGGAAGTTTTATCAACATCTCACTAATAATGAGTAAAAGTTAAGTCTAAAATTTGAGCTTTCTAAAGCCAATAGTTTTTCTCTACAATCATCTGCAATGCCAAATGAAGAGAAGAAGAAAATACAGTTTTTTTTTTTTTTTTTGACAATTTTTCATTTTTCAATTGCTTATATTTCAGCAACACCTTTTAAAGAAAAACCTGAAAATTGGCACACACCTAAGAAAACAAGTATCTTTCAAATGAAATATTCATTTACTACAGGCAAATATTCACTTACTATGGGGAGCAGAGAAATCAATCCCCAAAAATCAGCAACTCTGATTCCTGTATGTATAATCACTCAGTGACTTTTCACTTGGTGCAGAGTCGCTACCATGACTCTCAATTTATTAATTATAATGATTATTAATTTACATGTTTTAGGACAAATTACATTAATTCTAATATCCTCAAAACAATTAACAACATAACCTGTGATTACAATAATATAAAGAGTCTACTGTATTTCAAATTTTATACTTGAGAGGACTGAGTTTGTTTATTAAGATGAGAATAAAGTATTTAAAAAAAATATATTCAGTATGTTTAATTAAAGTAATGGAATTATTTCATTGCATAATGAAATTATTTATCCTAAATATTTTATAAGATTAACAAATTTCATAATTTATAAAATTATTAGTTTATTAAGCTAGTTTTAAATAATACAAAAGCACTATTTTAAGATTATCAAAAATTATATTTTACAATTAATGTTTTTGATATAAATTTAGCTATCTTCAGTATCAAACAAACTTTATAAACATAACAGAAGTTTTACAGTCCAGAAAAAAAGTTGCTTGGTGAAAAAGAGAATTTGAGAACATGAACTGATCTTGATCCAATACAATTTACCATTAACAAACCAAAATAAAATTGTTTGAGAAATTCATAAAAATTATGCACTATTTTTATATTGTTGGTCACCATTTCATTTCATGTTGATATAAAAATTCATAGTAAGCAAAAAAGTANATTACAATAATATAAAGAGTCTACTGTATTTCAAATTTTATACTTGAGAGGACTGAGTTTGTTTATTAAGATGAGAATAAAGTATTTAAAAAAAATATATTCAGTATCTTTAATTAAAGTAATGGAATTATTTCATTGCATAATGAAATTATTTATCCTAAATATTTTATAAGATTAACAAATTTCATAATTTATAAAATTATTAGTTTATTAAGCTAGTTTTAAATAATACAAAAGCACTATTTTAAGATTATCAAAAATTATATTTTACAATTAATGTTTTTGATATAAATTTAGCTATCTTCAGTATCAAACAAACTTTATAAACATAACAGAAGTTTTACAGTCCAGAAAAAAAGTTGCTTGGTGAAAAAGAGAATTTGAGAACATGAACTGATCTTGATCCAATACAATTTACCATTAACAAACCAAAATAAAATTGTTTGAGAAATTCATAAAAATTATGCACTATTTTTATATTGTTGGTCACCATTTCATTTCATGTTGATATAAAAATTCATAGTAAGCAAAAAAGTAACCTGGCAAATAACATTCTACTTTTGAGAATAAAAAAGTGTTTGGTGAACGAGTGATTGCTATAAAATGCCAGAGTGACCCCTATAAATAGAACTGCATTATACAGGGTGTAGCAGAATGACATTTTAAAAATTTGGGGGATTGTAGAGGATGAAATTTTGAATGTTTTGATATAAGGAACCTTTAGCCGGAATGTTTCTACAGCACTTTGCACATTCTATGCAGTCGGTATGCTAAATGAAGCAGCAGAATACAGTATTTAAGACAAGTTTTATTGACAAAACAGTAGAGTACAATCAAACTGTATATCGAATCAGTGGCTGCACTACTTTAGAGTAAATGTTCAATGTGACAACCACCAACATCGTTACATAATGTGCAACAACAAACCATGTTTTGTCCGACCCTCTGAAAGATGCCACGCTCTCCTCTGATGGTATTAAATGCTGTAAAGATGCACTCTGTAAGCTCAGGAACTGTTCCTACAGATGTTACGAACACAAGGGACTCACATTGACTAGTTGTGTGTTTACAGCACAGCGCCAGTGGATGCAATCTGTAGACCTGAAGGACGACAAGTACTAAGTACACAACATCCTGTACACAGGCTCAGTTAGACCACTATAGTTGTGTGTTTACAATCTTCCATCTGCAGCAATAATATGATGTCAATGGACAGAAGGGTAGCTACCAAAGTGAAGGGCAGTCAAGCACTTCCTACCACTGTAGACATTTTAGTTCAAATTTCCAGCTATAGGTTCCTTATATCAAAACATTCAAAATTTCATCCTGTACAATCCCCCACATTTTTAAAACGTCATTCTGATACACCCTGTATATAATATTCAAATTTTCCAACTTCCAGTCAAAGAAAATCCATTAAAATGCAAGTCTTGTCAAAATTGTATTTCTTATTTTTAGTTTTTCTTTTCCAAACCTTACTTGCAAAATGCATTTCAAAAACAGTTTTCTTTCAATTGTATAATTCTAAGTGGGAAAAAACCAAGAGTAGGAAAAAATACACTTTTGGCAAGACTTGGGTTGTGCTGAACTTTGTCATTATTTAAGTTGGAAAACTCAAAGCATTATCATTAAAAGTAACTGATTATTAGAATAAAACTAATAGTTATTAATTAATTAATTTGAATTTATACAATTCACAATTAAACTTACTATTTGGGGACTTCACCTAACTGATGAATCTTCATTTCTTTTCCTTTTGTTGATTTTATAGATTTGGCATCTGAAGCATTAGATTTTGCAGACCCACAATTAAAAACGACCGATTTTGAAGAAATGTTATCATTATTTTCATTTTTTTTATGTGACATCTATAAAGGAAAAAAACAATTTTTTAAGTAAAATTTTTTAAATATTCAGTTTTATTATTTAATATAAAATAAATAAATTTTTGTGTGTTTAATTTTTCTAATAACTTACAGCACTAAAGTGTTGGTGAGTTGGTACATCAGCATGTGTTTCAGTCTGATTAGATTCTTTAGAAAAATCAATATCTGAAGGATTTTCATTAGAGTCATCTGGATTTCTTTCTTTCAGAGAGGATGTTGAATTATCATCTTCAAAATGAATTAAATCATTATCACAATTACCTCTAATTTCATTTAATTGATTTTCATCTAAATCAGGTTTTGGACTAGGTGATTTATTACTGTTTTCATCTCCACACTGCTGTTACATAAAGAAAATATATTAATATTAAATATTTTTATTTAATACTTATTATCAACATTAATACTTTTTGTAATACACAAAAACCTTGCTAAGTCAAACTGTGTTAACTCAAAGCTGTCAACAAGTCCTGAACACAGTGTGTAGGGTTTTGAATATAAGTCTCATTAAGCTGAAATTGCCAGTATTTTTAACTTGGACTTATTTTTCCATGTACTCTCACCCTTTGATAGGTCTATGATCCTTCCAGATCCACTTTATCCAGATGATTAAGATAAATAAACACTATGGCTCCATGCTGAAAATAATACCATGCCGTTACAACTTTATGTCAATATCCTTTTAGATATTGTATTACCAGCATTCTGATTGGGATACAAGGGGGACTTGACAATATCCTCAAAAGTACCGTAAACTATACACTTTTATAATCATTCTTTGAACAGATTCTTGATAAATGGCATGACAATGGGAAATTTATGGTCACAGAAAAATTTGAGAAAATTAGATGTTAAGGCTCATTAACTTGAAACTCTTTAATTTAAAGTTGGTGTTTTTCTTTTTAAACTTCAACTGATTACGATTTTACTGTAATAAATTATTTTAAAAGTGTTGGCAGATGGTTGCATGAAAATGCACAAGAGACTTTTTTAGTTTTTAACTTTTTCTTTCCTGCACTGTGGGCACTAAAAGGGTCTTCCCTTTTAGTGCCCACAGGGAAAGAAAAAGTCCATTCCCATCATGTGTTCTGCAGAATCACAATGGAGCAGCTAGATGATAAGGGATAGGTCTATTTTTCATAGACAGTCTAGGACAGATTATACATGAAAAATTTTGTGATTTCTGATCCAGATTCAAATTTAAAATCCACAGAACAGCAGACTGACACCTTTATCATCATGGTCATCTGTTACAAGAGACTGGAATTTTGAATATTCAGAAAATTTAGTTTTCTTATGATAGTCTGAGTTAGAAAGTCATTCCCTATCTTTTATCTATGATGGCCATTCAATTGAAAGTTAAGTTCACCCATAATGAACATAAAAAAAGTTGACTGCATACATAACTCAGTGTACTAGTGCTATATGTAAAAATCTATTTTTATTATAAAAATAACTTTCTGTATGAGGAATAGAAAAATTATTTTTATAATATAGGAGGGTAAGAACATTTTTTTTTCTGCTGTAAAAAATGAATTAAAAAAATTACTTACATTAACTGATGGTGGCAAAATAGATAAAGAAGAATCACAGGTTGCTACTGAATTACTTTCATCATTCAGTTTTTCTGATTCAATATTACTGTTTGGTCTTCCCTTTAAATTAAAAACAAAATAAAATCTTTATCAAAAATATTTATTTGAAACATTGATTACTATTTAAATATGTGAGGAACCGAATCCAGACTTGTGTGTTTACATCATTTGTTCATAATATGGTAACTATAAACGTGATAAATAACTGTCAACTTTCACACCTGGGAGAAAAACATCTGTTTAGTTCTCAGGCCTGACAACGATGCTTTCTCATCACCTCTTGACCTAATATCGATTTCAACAGTTCAAAATATAGAACAGAACAACAAAGTAAGGGGAGTTGTCACCAGTTCCTCAATCGGACCACTCAAGTTTTTCCTGTGCTAAAATATTTGGATATCTCCTCGCCTAATATCTAGTTAACTAAGAACTGTGGAAATAAGAACTGTCATCCAGAACTGTCTTCTTTCGTGTCTGACTCACTTGCAGCAGATCAAGATTTCATACAAGGTATTTACAGGTATAC